TAACTGCCTATAACTCCAGTTCTAAGGGATATGAGTCTTGTGGCTTAAATGAGCATCTGTGTGCAGAGTGTGTACATAAACTTTGGCACACACATACACATAAAATAAATCTTTAAGAAATGAAGTCTTAAAATGTAGTATGGTTCACTCTGTTGAACACTGTTTTACATAGAAATCCTAAATTAGAATTGACTGTATGGTATATAAAGGACCATTTTTAAAAATGTAACTAATGAAAAATTAAAGTTATATATAAGAAAAGAAGGATCTGAGAGTAGCTGAGTGGCAGGCCTTTTTTTCTAGCACATATAAGGCCCTTCACCACAACAAAAAATAAAATAATGCACACAGAAATACTGTAGCAAAGTAAAGAGTTCAGAGGAAGAGTGTCAATCTAGAGATTATCATTCTACACTGAAGGGCAATACAAGCAAATTTCTTAGAACTGAAAGATGATGGAAGTTGTGTATATGGAAACTAGAAGTACTTATATAACTATGTATCTGTTGTATCTAGTGTTAATATTATAGCAGTTATCTGTAGCTCAACAGCTGACCCTTTAGCCTTCACCGTAGGCAAGAACTAGACAGAGATTAGAGATTATGAAGTCCAAGGATAGGGATTTTGCTGTCAATATTTGGGTATTTATGTGAGCATGACCTTCATTGATTTCCTTTTCCACTGCCGTGGGAGGTGCAGCTGATTTTCCCAGTGTATGTGAAATAAGAGATGGTTAAGTCAAGACAGTGTCCATTGATTTTTTTTTTTGATGAGAACTGCACATTCATATTTTTTGAACCCAAGTTATTTTTCACAGTTATATTGGTCTGTAATTTGAATGTTGTCTATATTTAAGTTGTGTAATTTGAAATGTTTTCATTCATTTTGACATATGTATAGACCTGCAGTATTCCTGTCATAGTTACGCTTATGAGCTCATGTTCATCATCTCCCAAAGTTTCTCTTGTCCCTTTTATAAGGTCTTCAGTTCTTAGTTTTTGATTCCTCTTCTACAGTGATATAAACATCACTGTGTGTTAAATCATTATAGGTTAGCTTGAATTTTGTGTAATTTTATATATAAGTGTAATCACACAATATGTGCTTATTTTGTCTGCTTTCTTTCAGTAAGGACAATTGTTTGTGGATTTATCAGTTTTGTTCAGAATGTAAATGAGATCTTTTCTTCTATTCCTGAGTAATAGTCCAGTCTGTTGATATGCTGCAGTACTTTTATGATCCATCTGTTGTGTGTGGACATGTTTTGTTTCCAGGTTTTTAACATTAGCAACAAAGCTGCTTTGGAAATAAAAGAGTCTCCACTGATTTCGCAGAGATTAATTCCCTTTCAAAACAAAGGAGACTTCTTAACACTATATACTACCACACACACTGACTCCTCTTTGCACTGAAAAGTCAGGTTCTGCCATAACTGTGGGGAAAAGTTCAAGTTCCAGGGATCAGATTTCTAACGGGATAATAAGTTTCTTAGTAATTTGCACTGGTAAAAACATATTAAATGAATAATAGACTGGAAAACTTAAAATTTAAGATTAGAGAAGCAAAGTTTATCAACAGCTGTGTTGTTAGATGGCTTCCCATAAACATAACATATGATATACTTATCTGATGTAGACAGAAGTATTTTTTGACATAGCTATGGAGATTTTTCTCCATGACCGAGTAGCTCAATTGTTCCATGTTTCTGATCAGGAAGTACACCAAGGCAAGTGTACAACTCAAGGCATAATACTCGTGTTATGAAAAATGAAGAAAATCAGAAATTAGGGTTCTACGTACTCTTTCAGGGAATCATTGTTATCGCTCTGTACAATTCACTTTTTAGCCCAGGATGGCTTTTTTTTCAGATTTTATTTATTATTTTTATTTTATGTGTATGCACGTATTGCCTGCATGTAGGTAAGTGAACCCGTGTCATGCAATGCCTGCGGAGGTCAGAAGAAGCTGTCGGATCCCCTGGGACTTAGTTACGGACAGTTGTTAGCTCCCATGTGGGTGCTGGGATTCAAACCCAGGTCCTATGCAAGAACAACCAGTGTCCTTAACTGCTGAGCCATCTCTCCAGCCCCGTAGCCCAGGATGGCTTTAAACTTGTGGAATCAAACTTTCATCCCACCACAGCCTCAAGAGAAGCTGGGCCTACAGTTTCTACACAGTGTATCAGCTAAGCCTGTACCTCTTGAACATATACAACACCTCCCAAGTATAGTAACCTAGGAATAAGGTCTTTAACACTTGGACCTGAACAGTAAATGTCCAAAATATAGCATAAATTCAGTATTAAATTGTCCAGATGAGACAGTTTGAAATGTATCTAATCAATGATAAAACATGGATTGATCTATCACTTATGTAAAAATATCCAGACACAAGAGGGAAGTTTAGCATATGAACCCACAGTAGCTGTGACAGCATGCACAAGACCTGTTAAAGCATATGGCACACAAAATCCCAACAGCAAAGGAGGAAGTGAGCATGAAGACCCAAGCCTAGCTAAGGAACTTCTTGCAACTGATAGTTGCTGGGGGCTGAGGGTCAATTCTCTTTAAGAGTATGACTCCTGATTGGTCCGTGAAACTCCAGTGTGTAGTCCCACATCTAAGAGTATATGTACACAAATTGGGTTCAATGTGTTTTGTTTGTTTTGTTTTCATTAAATGAGGACAAAGAGTTGGGTGGGTATGGAAGGGGGAAGATTCTGGGAGGCCTTAGGGGAGGGGAGTGAGTATGATGAAAATATATTGCATGAGATTCTCAAAAATAAATGGAAACACCCAAATGCCTTAGATTATCCCTGAAGTGTATTTTCAGTATCTCAGAAAGATGACCCTACAATATCATATTTATCTTATCATGTTGCCTTAATATAGCTTCAGGCCATGTGAGGCTTCTAATAAGAGAAGGGATGACCAGGTCAAATTCCTTATCTGTTTGAGCTTCAACAGCTTTGCTGGAAAAGTCTACATCTGTTTGGCTGCGGTAACAATTCTGGAAGGTTGTGTCATAGTTCCAACATTTACTAAGGGATCTTGGGTCCTGGAGATCACTGAAAGCATATAAGCTTAGTTGCTCTATCCTAAGGTTATAACTACTTTTTGGTGTTATTGATCTCTGTGCTGCTCTACCTTTGTGCTTCAGCTGAAAAACCGTTTCTTTAAATTAAAATCATTATTTTAAAATGCTTTAAAAGTATTTTTACCAAGTCCTATGTTTTTCTTGCTGTCCTAAATGATAAATAACTGCTGAAATGATGGAGGGAGGAGAATATGTGTATGAGTAAGGAATGAGAGGTAGATACTCCTTAATTATGCTCATCATAGAAAATATTTTAAGAGTAGTGAAATGGAGGAACTAGGAACAGAGTCTGGAAAACTCACTAGAAATGGTTCTGAACACTGACTATAACTATAAAGAAACCATTCTCACACCTACACAGAAGCCAAAGGATGAAGCTCTGTTACTGTCACTAGAGTTCTCTGATTTTGAGAAAGATCCACCCACCAGGACTTGGCCACAGGCAGGGCATCATAGAAGTTGTTAAATTTCAGATTGATAGCAGAGTCATCAGGGAGAGGTAGTAAGTATCTTTGCTCCTGAACTTTTATTTCTTGCAAACAACTATTACTGACAAAATGCAATTATTTTATTGTTATCGTTATTGTCATTACTATTATGTATACATGGTTGTGAGGGTGTGTGTGTGTATCAGGATACATATGTGGAGGTCAGAATACAGCTTTGTGGAGCTGGTTCTTTCCTTCCAACTTCGTTTTGGTTCTGGGGACAGAATTCAGGTCAGCAGATTTGTACAGAAAGCAGCTTAACCCATTAGCCTATCTTGCCAGGGCTTCAAAATATAACGTTAAACCAAAGAACAAGAAAGCCCTAGTATTCCATGCTGCATGAGTTATCTCAGAGTATAGAAGGGAGCAAAGAGAAAAATGCAAGGTCTAGAGAGCCAAATAGAGAGCATAAACATATCCAACTTTTTATACTTAACTTTCATAATTATAGCAAAGTAGTACTAGACAAATAGAGAAGATTTAAAGTTCTGAGATACTTGGTACAAAATACAGGAATATTTAAATTCATATTGCATACATGCATATTATTTTCCCTCTATTTCAAATGGTAACTTTATTCCTGAAAGAAAAGGTTTACAAATTTGGGTATTTCCTGAAGAAGTTTAGTTTAAAGATGCCAAAGAGACTAGTGTTCACAGGTATGCATACTATTGAGTCATCCATCTGTCAGTTCACATCTACCTTATTCTGTAACTTGGCTTTTGAAAATATTGCCACAATAACCGTGGGTGTACAAGTATCTCTGCAGCATAATGACTTAGATTCAGGCATGTTCCCAGAAATTGTACAGCTCGATCAAATGGTAGTTCTGTTTTGTTTGTTTTGTGAGGAAGCTTCAAATGGATGTTTATAGTGGCTGCCAGCAGTATAGAGGGTCTGTTTTCCATATCCTTGCTAGGATTGATTATTCTTATTTTTCTGACTGGTATAATGAGACATGTTGCCCTAGTTTGTTCTCCGTTGCTGTGACAAAACACTCTGACCACTATCAACTTGGGAGGAAAGGGTTTATTCAGCTTACATCTCCCAGGTTGCAGTTCATCAGGGAGCCCAAGGTAGGAACTCAGGGCAGGAACCTGGAAGCAGGAGCTGGAGCACAGGCCATGGCGAAACGCTGCTTACTGTCTTGTTCCCCCAGCCCCTCCTCAGCTTGCTCTCTTATCCAACACAGGACCACCTGCCCAGGAGTGGTACTACCCACAATGGGCTGGGCCCTCCCACATCGCTCAACAATCAAGAAAATGCCCCACAGACATGGCCACAGGCCAGTCCTATGGAGGAAATTCCCCAATTGAGGCTCCCTCAACCCAGGTGTGTTAAGTTGACACTAAAGCTATCCAGCACACATTTCAAAGCTACATTTTGTTTTTTTTTGTGTTTGTTTGTTTGTTTGTTTCAAATCACAGTCACCTCCTCAAATAAGTGACCAGAACACATCCATTCTCCTCTATCTGATTAGTTCATCATTTCTGAATACTGGGGGTGGGAAGTAGGTGGGGAAGAGGGAACGAGGTGTTTCAGGACAGGCTCTGAGACCTTGGGAACTCTGGCACTGCCTCTGGCCAACCATCTTTTCCACAGCTCCCTAAGAAAGTGAACATTCATTCCCTGGTGCCAGGACTGAGGATCATGGGTCACAGCTGAAATAAGATCAAGGTGTAGGAAAGGTGTGTGGTGGCAAATGTACACACTTCTGTCACACATGTATCTTCTGGGTCCACAGGCATATTCCACAGTCAACCATACTATCGATTACTCCAACTGTTCTCTCCTTCCCAGTTAAATGTAGTTTTGATGTGCATTTCTCCTACTGGCCAATTGCACCTCATTTTTTGAGAACTTTCCACTTAATTTATGTCCCCTGGTATTGATTGGATTATTTGGGGGTTGGTGTACATTTTTTTCAGTTCTATATGTATTTTATATTAATCGTCTTTTAGGTAAGAAGCCTGCAAAGATTTTCTCCCATTCTCTAGACTGTCACTCACTCTGTTGTTTGCTCTCCTGTGCAGAAGCCCTTTAATTTCATGCACTTCCATCTGTCAGTTGTTTCTATTATTTACTTAACTGCTAGAGTACTTTTCAGAAAGTCCTTGCCTATAGGTGCATAATTTTTGTGTGGACAACAGAGATTTTAACATCTGTATGAGTGCTTATGGGGCACTTTAAGGACTGAGCTATTTTCCCAGTCTGAAATTATGCAGTTTTTAAGATTAAGAAGTTACATTGTGCCACATATTTCCAAACTTGCTTTCTTTAAATCTATGTAATGTACATGTGGATAATGAACACAAACCTGCTGGGCTCTGGGCCCCAGATCCTCAGCCCCGACTCCTCACATCCTAATCTCTCACTCCTGTAACTGCAATACCTCTGATTTCATGGATTTTACACTTTATGCTTCTGGTTCCTACTTTATTTTTTAAAATATTTTATTTATTATTTTTATTTTATGTGTGGTTTCTGTATTGCCTGCATGTAGGTAAGCGCACCCATGTCATGCAATGCCCACAGAGATCAGAGAGCTTGTCATTTCCCCTGGGACTAGAGTTACAGACAGTTGTTAGCTGCCATGTGGGTGCTGGGATTCGAACCTGGGTCTATTGCAAGAACAACCAGTGTTCTTAACTGCTGAGTCATCTCTCCAGCCCTGGTTCCTATTTTCTTTGAAGGCAAAGTATTTTTTTAAAAATTCAAAAAAGAATATAAAAATCTTTTGATGATCTTTAATGTTCCTTAAATTGTAAAGCATGTCTTTGGTTGCAAAATCCATGTTAAACTTTATTTTATGAAATATTTAAATCAAATTAATAACAAAAACTTAATTATATTTATTATTTTTCTTTATGCGAATATGTATTACCCCCCCAAGACACTTGCTTTCTTCTAGCTTTAACTAGCACATCACATTTTGGATTTAGCAAGTACTGTTCAGTGTTTCTAGTATCTGTGAGGGTAACCAGAAGAGATATAAAAGGAACCTATTAATTATACAAAGTTCTTAAGATGAGAAAACTCTTCTAAGACTGGCTGACAGCAGAGTCATAAAAGCAAATTTTGAATGAGTCCAAATGTACAAAAGTTTTCTTAAGACTGGCCTAACAGGATAAAGTGAGGTTCTTTGTGTTATTTCTCTTGCAGTAATTGCTATGTCATTAATTCATTTTTAATCTTGCTTGTACATGCTTAGACTGCATCCTGTTTTTATTAGAAGAATCATACTGCCATCTAGTGATAAGACTGATGATGATGATTTTGAAATAGGATGGTTATTTAAACCTTCTTAAGTGACAAATAGAAAAAAATTCCCCAAAGCAAAATAAGCCTCAAAGCGTTACTCTGAGAGCAATTGCACAATCTTTAAGTGACATTGTATATCAAAGCACGAAAGTTCTGTGTTTCACTTCCTTTTACTACCTAGCACTTAAATCAGATTTGTGCACTGGTTCTCCTTTGGCAGTAAGTGCCTTTTTCATGCCTTTGAATCATCGAATACCTGTATAAGTTGGTTTATCCTCATCTAGTTGAGAACATCTAGGAACACACAATGCATCTACTTAAAATAGCATCTTTGATGTTACTGAGAAGGCTTCTTAAGCACCCCTAGACTTAAGAGTCCTAAAAAATCATCATTCTTGTTTGAGAACATTTTTTACAAAGATCTTTTTTAAATTTTTACACTTTATTGAGAATTTCACAAATGCATATAAGGTATTTTGATCAAATCCATGCCAATTCCCTCCCCTCCAATATTCCCCCCTCTGAAGAGGTAACCCTAAAATCTTTTAAGGATTGGATATAAGCTCCCAAGGAAATATTTGGCCTTTGGAACCGAGTATGTTGCTAACAGGCCCAAGGACATTTTGACTTTTAGCCAAGAAATTGGCTACATTTCTTTGGGGTCTTTTTACCCTAACTGCCTAGCCAATTCCTACCTCCTATTCTTAACACGCCATCCTCTGAAGGGGTTACCCAAATTGCCAATAGGGAATAGGGACACAGACTGCTCTGGCATTTTCCATGCCTAACAGGGACTCAGCGTGAGGCAATTGGAGTACCCCTTCAGTGGGTGTATCTAAAAGACTCCCAAACTGCATAACGCTTATCTCTAAGGGGAAAAGAAAGTCCTTAAATAGTGAATAGGAGATGTGGAGAAGTAAATGCAAGAGTAATTAGCATTACAAGTTCTAGACAGGGAACTAGAAAAAAGTCCGAATGTCCATATGAGAGTCCATTGGAGTTTCTTGGGAAGGGCTTCCAAAAAGCATCCATTAGGTTCTTCCTCGTTTTTCTTTAAAAGCTTAGAGAAAATGTCTTCATTCTTTCCAAATACACAGTAACCTTTAGGACCACAGCATATTTCTATCTAGTGCCAACAATGGAATTATCACAACTTTTGCTTTTATTATAAACATTTGAATTATATTAGACCATGGCATGACATATTTAAAGATTCAATCATAAATTCCAAAATATAAACCTAAAAGGTAAAATGTAAGCAATGCGTACTTAAGAAACCATTCACTTTACTATGACTATGGTCATGCTCTGTTGTCTATTTCTGTGACTTTGACTCTCATAACTTTTGTTTATTTATACTTATTTTGTTATATTAATTTTTAAAAATTTACTTCTATTTTTCTTTTTACATCTTAATCATATTCAGACCCCGCCCCCATACATCCCTACTCACTCTCCCTGCTCCCACGAGCCAGGGTTGGGGAATGACCATAAGGAAAGCCAGTCTTCCAGGCCTCTGGAAACTTGTTTATATGAACTTACAGCACTATTTTTGTTTTTTGATGATGAGCATTGGAACCAAGCCTTTGTATATGCTAAGCAATCACTGTACCACTGAGCTACATTCCCAGAGAACAACTTTGCTTATTTAAGAAGATTTAAAACCTTGGACTGTAGAAATAGTTCAGTTGTTAAAATGATTGCGTTACAAACACAAAGACTTGAATTTGAGTCTCAGCATCCTCACAAAAGTGCCAGTTATGTTGGTACATGCTTACAATCCCCCTGTTGTGTGTTTAGGGAAAGGTGGATCCCTGGTATTTGCTAGCAAGCCTGTCTAATTTACTTGGCGAGTAGCAGTCCAGGGATAGACCGTGTCTCCAATTAAAGGAAGCTAAATCCTGAGGAATGACACCTAGGTTGCCCTCTGTCCACACACACACAAATACACACACACACACACACACACACACACACACACTTTCACATACATATGCAGCCACAAACACATGAACACGCCATATATTCACACATAAAGTCTTTGTTTCAAATAAAAGATTATTCTTAAATCCTCTGTTTCTCATGCCCATGAAAATTTAAAATCTATCTATATTTTCCCTTTTATACATTTTCCAAATTGCATTTGTACACTGGTCTGTGTGAGAAGCATTACCTTCTCTGCCAATACAAATATAGCTTACATTGTTTCTTTTGTTATCTGTAAGAACCATGGCAAGTTATTTAACTTTGTAAGTCAAAACCTCATCATATATTGAGTGGGGTTAAAACTGTATATTACCATATACAGACATTTTGAGTAATACAATATTTCAATGAACTGGCTTACTACATAAGTGTCCTAGGGTAAATGTTGAGTAAATTAACTTTATTAATGCTATCATGTTATTTTTCCTTTTGCCCTGAACTAAAGGACCCTCTTGAATTTTCTATTATTGTTAGTGGCCTGATTTATTTCCTATACTCAGACTTGAATTTGAAAAACCTTTACCACATCAGACTCCTTAATATTAAGATGCTACTATTAAGGGTTTATACTTTGCAAGGTTTCTTATAGCTGCTACAATCCCAATGGAGGTGTTTTCTGTTAGTCTTTCAAGGCCTGCTCTCCTGGACTGATCAAATATTAATTTCTTTATGTCACTTCCTACATAATTCCTTTATGTCACATCAACTACATTGATGCATTATTAACACTAAAACAGTTACAGCCACATCATAGCCTATTGAAAACTCTTGCAGTGTCTCTGCATTTTCGTTATTATAAAATACTTTATACTCGGTAAAAATTCATGTAGTGTTCCAGTCACAATTTTAACGAGGCATGTTGCCAACTTCATTTTTCCCTGATAGTCTCCCTGGATTATAAACTTAAGCCAAATTAAAATATTCACTGACAGCCAGAAATCTCCACAAACCCCATTTCTCTGCTTTTGATCATCCTTTTTTCTCCACCTAGAATGATTTTCTGAATATATTTCTGTGTGTCAAGATTCTAAATATCTTTTAGGACACTTTCATTCATTCAATAAATATTTAAGTGCCCATCTTTTTCAAATTATCATTCTGGGAATCATTAAAGCAAGTGGAAAGTGCTTGAAGGTTTATGTCAAAGAACCATAGTTTAAATATTAGTTCTGCTTTTATCTAGTGCTGGGGCATTGAGCTAGTCAACTCCTCTGGTTAAACCTCAGTTTCTCAATCATCAGAAAATTATGGTAATAGTTACTCTTGGGGTTTCCTATAATTATTTAAAGTAAAGCTCGTACCTCAAACTACCTAGCAAGGATTCTGGTGTGTCTGCCACATAAACATACCTGGAATAAAATACTAACATATCTGTGGACTTTTTCTATCATCACGTGGATATGTTTTCACTCATAGCACTTTGGACAAGCATTATTGCATAATAGTTAACTATGATGTCTTCAAACTCAGGCCGCTCTAGGTTCAATTATCAGATCAATACTTACTAACAGTAAACATGACCAAGTAACTTGTCAATTTCAGTCTTCAGTTTCCTTT